TGCAGACTAGAAAATCCAATCCCAGGCATGATTTTTACCCCAAGGCAAAACAGAAATCAGGAATGGAGAACGGCACAGAGCTCCTTGTCATCACGTTAGCCCTGATCTATTAAAAGTTTTGTCATAGATTCTAAATTACACCATCTGCTCTAATCATTTGCTGAGTAAATGCTGACCCACTTATAAAGAAAACTCACTGAAATGTGTATGCACACTGGTGACCTTCAGAAAGGAAAGGGCTCCTTGCCAGCCATTTGTATGTGGCTCTGCCCTTCAGCGAGCAGTGTGGCTCTGTCTCTTAGCTCCCTCTCATTTCAGGCTCTGCATATTCCCAGACATGCCTCTGACATGCGCTTTCATGGCAGCCTTAAACGTCTTGGTTGCCTTCTTCTCAACAGTTTTGAAACTCCCTGAATATTTTCAATAGGATAAACTGAAAACCAACCCCCCCAAACAAACCAAATAAGCCCCTCAACCAACTAAATGCCCCAATTGTTAGTAAATTTAAAGCCCCCAACTGTTAAGGATTCAGTACCAACCTTAACTCTGGACTCACATTCTTATAAATTTTACAGTACAGTGTAGAAAGCAGCAAGCACATCACCTGCTCTCCTTGCTATACAGATGAACTCCAGCAGCTTTTCTTCATGTCTCCCCTTCCTGACCACACTTAGTAAAATAATTTTCTAATAACCCTCTTGCTACACTGGGTGGAGGAAAAAAAAAAAAAAACAAAACCCAACCAAATATGTGGTTTCTTAGCTGAAAATGACTAACTGATGTTAAAATACAGCATCTTGAGTCAGCAGATAGAGATCCATTCTGGAATTTCCATTGGGTCTGTCTGAAGCAGTAAACCTGAGCTGCCTTGTCTCCATTGCTATTTTAACCTCTGCTAACATGCCTGGGCCAACCCACCCACATTTATAGACAACCTTTATTTGCAATGTAAACAATACCTGTGACACGATGGATAAAGGGCATATCTGTTGGATTTCATAAGGGCAAAGACAATTGCTTTTGCCAGCCACTGGTTCCTAATAACCACCTGTCTTCTATTAGTGTCCTAAACAAGGAGGTGGGATATGTCTTGAGGGGGGTCTAGCAACTGACCAGAGAAAAGGAGCTGAAGGGATGGTTTAATCCGGTTACATGTGCTCTTTGCTCAGCAGGGAGGTCCCTATATGATAGACAGTCAGGCTCCACTTTCATCTACATGAAGAGAAATCAGAAGTAAAAGTCCCTTTCAGTACCAATAAGGGGTCTCCTAGGGAGAGCATTTATGCAACAGACTGGGAGAGAGAGAGGGCGTCAGATCATGGAGGGGGTCCATGCAGTGACTTGCATCTCAAATACAGAGTGAATAATCTTGTGCTTAATCTAAATACAAGTGATGAGTTGCAAGAGGGGTGAAAATGGCAAATAAATTCTAGGAAATTGCATATAAAGAGGAATTGTTGTTATTAAATCATTTAGGATGGGTGTGTTTCAAATCTAGCTCACAGTTGAAATTGTTTTACAGCTATAGCTGTGGAGTTTTAACAAAATTGCACCACTGCAACATATCTGTTAAGGATTTATTTCAAGAACTGTAGGGTACATGAATGAACCTCGACACACTCAACATGTTGTAGTCATATGAACTCGTCAGTGATTTTCACTGCAGTTATGTATGCAAGAACCAACAACATGTGTGTATTTGTGTGTACATATGCAAACATATGAGACAGGCAAATTGCACACATCCGCATAGGCTTATTCTCCAGCTCCACAGGCAGGCTTTCTACAGACTGCTCCTAAGGACAACGATATGATTTCTTAACATAGCATCATGGTATTTCTTTTCACTTCTCCCCAGAGATCTCTCGTTTCCTCTGATCTGTCTCCTTTTTCTATTAAAAAGGAAAGACTATACTGCCCAGCACACTCCTGGTACTTGATCTCACTCCAGGATTTGGGTGCTAATCCCACCACCTATGTGCTCCCTGTCTCTCAGTGCATGTGTTTGTGTGTGTGTGTGTAGGTACAGACACGCACATCTGCTAGTGACAACCCCACTGGCTGCTTTCCCTGACCTGCTCTGTGCAAGAAGTGAGCAGGACTCCGCCCCGTGGCTGGTTCAATGGCCCAGCTGTCAACATCAGCTCCCACTCTTTTTTCTCCAGATACTATATATTGCCTTTCTGCTTTAAACACATCTCTACATCGACTCAGTCTAGCAGTCCAAAGACCCTAGCTCCCAGGTGCTCCTGTTCTCCTTATTCCTCCTACGGGAGGACATTCTCCAGTGGAATTTGGCTATTGAAGCACTGGGAGACAGAATTAAAAAATAAAAATCTGGTGGGTTTTTGGGTTTTTTCCCCCTATTTCCAGCAGCTGGGTGGAACATTTAAAAAAAATGAAAAAAAAAAAAAAGAAGTAATCATGCCATGCATGAGCAGTGAACACTTCTGAAAATTCTGGTTCTAAATTGGTGGAGATCAAACTTAGCCTCAATAGTTTTAGAAAAGCCTATTGACATAGGTATGGCTGTTAATGTCTCACTTGATAACCTCAACAATTCTCCTTGACTGCAGGGATAAGTCACACAGCAGAATGCTCTTGCTGTTCCTTTAGAAGGACTTGCATGCCCTTATGAAGACAAAAATTGCAATGATTTCAGTTTCTTGAAAGATCTTTAATTCATCAGTAATGTTTCAATGGAATAATGGCCACAAAGCCTAGCAGCAATTATAAAAATGTGATTTGTTTTACTTATTTAATCTATAAGTACAAGCTTTTTAACGAACAGAAAGTGATGATGCACTGCCAAGACAACAGGAAAATGGAGGAAAGGGTATACTGCTCTCCTCTCTGCTGTCTTGCTCTCTGTCTCTCTCGTACATTTGCCCTCTCTGCCCATGGTTCCACTGTGGAAGCCATATGGCTTCCAACTCTCTTCTAAGTAGCCACTGAGAATTGTCTATAGTGGAATACTGCCAAAGCCCTTCCTGGTTTAATGACATGGGGAAGAACGCTGTGCAGTGCTCACCCAGCACAGAGGCTCACTGCGTCCTTGATTATGATCCTGGAGCCAGCAAGCGATGCTGGGAATTGAACCATCAGTGCCTCAAATACAGAAGTCGACATGTGCCAACCCCTGCTGCATTCAGTCTCTGTGCATGGCATATTAATGAGTCTTGAACTTGAGGACCAACCTTCAAGCTTGTATAGAAAGAATTACCCAAAGACAAACAGAAAAAGGTCCTCTTTGTCCTGTTTCCCTCTAACCATGCATAGTGACGCTAGTTTCTTTACTGAGTTTGCTCAGTTCTTAAACAGTAACTTTTTTTAAGGCCATCACATCATACCTCTGCAAACATAACCTGAGACACTGGGTTCAGGGAAGATTTGCAACATTTCCTTTGGGCGTTGCAAATGCCTGGTGCATAGTGAAGGCTGGTCTTTTATTTTCTGAGAAACAGGTTTTCTCCACGTGCGCATTTGGCAGCAGATGCACAGTGCAGATGAAAGAGCCTCTACAGAAGGATGCTCTCTTTCTTTGGAAAGGGTTGCACCTCTGGAGGGAAATTTGACAACCTATGAAAGCTGTGTCCTGCTGCAAATCTGCCCAAAAGTCAGAGAAAGGGACAGCTTGTAGAGGGTGAACAGAGCCAATGTAAAATGTAACTCTCCAGGACACCATGTTTCTCTGGTGGTAAGAGAGAAGGACAACACATCATCTACCCCAAAACCAGTCTACAGCCTTCCTCAGCAAAGACAAAAGACTTAACACGCCTGTATTAAAGTCGCATACTGAATCTTATTTCTGTCAAGAAATAAACCAACTTAAGTTACAGTGTTTGTGACTTATCACCTTTGAAACACTAGAAATTTAACTAATCAAAGCCCACAGCAATCCCTGATGGAAACCTACTGACAGCTACGGAAAAAAGGTCACAAGATTTACCCAGTCACAAAGGCATGTATTATTTGAGGGATCTAGCCTAGGACATTAAAGCCCAAGTTGTTCTATGCCTCAGGTCTGCAAATTCACATTTTTCTTTCCGTAAGTCAAAGGCAGTGTTCTCCAAATACACACACTTGGCCAATTTGACTCCTCAACTCACTCAGTAACACCCATGATGCTAGAGCAAGTAAAAAGATAACAAAAGAACACATGGAGGCACTTTGTCACATACAGTGGCTGCAACCCATGCCCAGTATTGCTCAGTGTTCCTGTGGCAAAGACCAACACTTTTTCAAACACTCCACCTCTTTCCCTGGTATACCACAAAACTCACCAAAATATCTCACCAGAAAAGGTACAGTACAGCAATGGAGCAAGAACAGATACAAATGAAGACCCAGACAGTGTTTTCACAGTACAAGGCAGAAGTTCTGGAAGCCTATGCGAATTATTCTCTTTCTTCCTCAGCTTTTATTCGACAGAAATCAACAAAAACTCTCACACTAGTTTTGATGGGAACAAACATCAAATCACTTTATTATACATTGCTTTAATCATTTCAGCAATCCTGAAATAAAGCAGTATATAATAATTATTATCCTAAACTAATATATGGTGCAGCAACAGTGGACACACATTCCCTGAAGATCCAAATAACTTGATTTTACCAACAGTGAAGTTCTCAAAATCATACTGGCAAGTACTACTGTGATACCAAGAAGAAACATCATTCTCCTATGTATAAGCTGCTCAGGTTCCAAACTATCAAGCAAATATGTGTTCTTTGTTAAGTGTTTCAAAACACAGAGTAAGGGTTGCTTTTAGGAAAGGCAAGAGCTGTTTGATTTAGCTGTGATTCAGAAATTTACAGAAGCCTCATAAGCCTTCAATGAAACTTGCTGATTGGGCTTTACTGGTCATGCCTCTGTTTCAACTTATCTGGGTTGGGTACCAAAACAGGAGCATTATATTTACAGTCTTGCATTTTCAGACAAAAACATGTAGTAACCAGCTTTACCATATTTGATAAAACAATAAACTTTGTGCTGACCTTTGGCAAGCGTTCGGGGTCACCGGGGTGCCGGGGTATAACCTTCTGTAACCTTTGGAAACCATAGTCAATGGTGGGTTCATTCAGAGCTGAAACAACAATAAACATCATCATGATGTGACAAACACATAGCAACCAGGCTCTGTTGCACTGTAACAATTGGCAATGCACTGCAAGACTACGGAAGGATCACAGCAAAATCCCCTTTTACTGAAATCAGCACTGACTATGAAGTCTTGGTTCAAACACTGAGGTTGGTTCTGAGGCTTTGGTTCAAACAGCAGTGCAAACCTTCCCACTTAAATTCCTAAAACAAGTTTGCAGGAAAATTTGGGGATGTTATATACTTCTTCCAAATAGGAAGCAATTATTATCTCTGAAAGCCATGATTAAATTAATTTGATAAATACACCCCATGTTTCATGTTGAGTTTTTCCCTGCTTTCATGCTATGAAGAAGGTCCTTTGTGATTGCAAGAAAAGAGAAGCAACTATTAGGGACTCTTATTGTTCCAGAGTCTATTATATGTTTAATATGCTCCATGTGCAATGATCACATATAGTATTGTTGTGAACTACAGGCATTTGTCTTGGCAGAGGCTTTATTATTTACTCATCAACACTGATTTCAGCAGCCCGTCTCAGGCTCCGATCAGCACTAAACTGATCCAAAGTCTTAATGAATTGGAAAAAAAATGTTTTTATTTCATCTTTCCACAGTCCTTGTCCAATAAAATAGAAGGGAGAAATGATGGAAGTGGAACACTTTAATCTTCACGAAAATGCTGGTCTGCCTGAATTAATCAAGCCTCTGATTGTGCCAAGCCTTTAAGCACATGCTTATCTGTAAGCACATACTTAAACCCATTTGCTTTCAGCAAAGCAAATTTGAGCATATTATGTTTTCTATATGATTGCCTATAATTACAGGGGACTGCATTGAATGACCTTCTAGCTATATTTCCAGTCATATGATCACTTTAAAGCTCAGATGGTAGTGAGAATTCAACATGTGCTTAAAATTTCCTAAGTGCTTTGGTGAACTGGAACAACAGTCAAGCATTCTCAAGCATCTCCAAACAACAGCGCATCTTGACTCTCCCATGCCAATAAAGATGATGAAATTTTCCACAGCAATTTGTTTGCAATTTTTTTAATTAAGTACAAAATAATTAAAAAAATCAAGTATGGATTTTTATATATTCACCTTTTTTTTGTGGGAGGGTTTGTTTTTTAGGGTCATTTTAAAGTTTCTGTTATTTTGTCTTAATTTATTCATAGCAAAAAAAACCCAACCCAAATTCTTACACAAACTCTAACTTCTAAATTATTAATATATCTTGCACTTTTATGATGGCTTTATGATGAATTTTATTATGTGGCTAGAATGATGCCATCGGATTAGTGCACAGAGATTTAGCATCAAACTCTATCTCCAAGCCTCACTTGTGTATGCACTCCTATGTGGCTCAACAATGCTTATCCCAAAGCAAGTTACACAGTTCCATCAGTCTGATAAACATGGCACAATTTTTTATCTTTCAAGTGAAAAGAATGTAATTTCCCAGTCCTAACATTAAAGATTTTTAGCCAGACCACGTTGTTATCATTAAAGCAATATCTAATCCCTGTCTTGTTTTAAATTAATTTTTGTTCCATAAACTCACAGAACAGTCCACTTTTTAACAAAACTGTTCTATTTAAATTATTATTTCCAAATCACATTTCTATAGCAGATGGTCCCACTGGCAACCAAAGAGTCAGATTTTTACATCCTCCAGGACCTTCAGTACGTCTCAGCTCTGAAAGCAGGCTCAGTGATGCTACTGCAAGTTGGGGCAGAAGACTGTGTTGGGGAATGCACATCTAGCCAACAGCAGTGAGACAGAGGTGTGTGGCTGAGGGACCGGCTGGAGAGGCAGAGACAGCCCAGCAGAATCTCGACATTTCTTTGATATCAGAAAGGAATCTTCTGAGCATATCCTGAAATGTTAGGGTTATGGTAACACAAGACTAGAAACCTTTCTGGATTTTACTTTAGTTTCTGGGTTATTATCAGAAGTTTTTAATTGCACCCCTCTAGCCTCCTCAGTTTTCCACATGCATTTCCTTTTATTAGGAATATCTGAATTTGAGCTTTTATTTATATTCAGGTAATTGTATGGAAAAAGTGAGAATAACGCTTTTCCCCATCTTGTGCCCTTGTTTTGGGGATGATTTGGCTTTTTCCATATTTTTCTTTTTACACCTTAGCTACATGTTGTCCACTCTGTTGTGTAGTTTTGCAGAAAACATTAGAGTATCTGGGTTTATAAACCCCCAGTTTCATTACCTTTTCAGTTTCCTTACATGGCTTCTTATTGTGGACCCATGTAGTTTAGACCTTCTTCAAATTTTACAATAAATTAATTTACTGCTATTTATATTTATTATAAAAAATAGCATTACTTTGGAAAGATTAAAAAAAACACCCACTACAGTTCTAATTTACATTTCTTTTGCAAATAAGTTAGACGATTTTAGTGTGGTTCTGTCAAAAGTGTTTCTTCTCTAATTTAGCCTAGTTTATGGCCATTTTCCCTTTACATCCTTTGGGAAGGTAGTTACTAAATTCTGCAATATTATAAATGGAGGCCAGTTCTGAAATCCCCCCAGAGATAGCAGTCATTTTCTCATATCTTCCCACACATTCAACACATTTGAAATCCACAGAGTATTTCCTGGGAGTATTTTGTGAACTAAATGACCAAAAAAAGATGTTAATTTTATGGTACAATCTCACCAGGCATCAAGCATTCTCTGAGAAATACTGAAAACTTTCTGCTTCAAACAGCATCAGCTTTACTTCAGTGGTGGGGAGAGGCTGCACACAGCAATTTGCAGGATTGGGTCCTAAACTGTAGTTGTCAAATATCACTCAGTCTTTAACTGTTCAACCCTTTCAATATTAATTAAAATAAATAAGAAAAAAAAATTTAACTGCCTGAACATCTAACCACAGATTGGATGAGATCAGCCCTCCATTCCTCAGTACATTTATAATCCATGTCAAATGTAATTACACATATCTTAACGAAGAAGCCCTATTTAAATATTTAACCCCACCTTCAGTGTTAAGGCCACACTAGTTCCTCTGTCAGTAGCTGAAAAAACTCCAAGGAAAAGGTGATATTCTGATTCCAAGCACTGTGGAAGAGACAGAGCTCAGGCCACCATTTGTGGCAGCTAAGGCAATGTTCTGCCTTTGCCCTGAGTACACAGGAGCCTGGTCTCTGCCTTTGAAGCCCATTCAAAGTAACACATTTCCCATTGCTCTAATTCAAAGAATGGGGTTGGATTCTTTTTTTTCCATGATTAGAAAAAAAAGAATCAATGAGAAACTCTCTGTTTGTGTTCTTGACATCCATACATTAGAAACAAGTTAACAAATACTGTACTTAAAATGCAATCCCATTACCCTAAATTTTAAAAGTACTATTGAAAGTACTACCAACTTTAAAAAACCGTACTGAATTCAAATAGGTCCCAAGGCTAATGGAAGCAATTTGTATACCAACCCAAACTGACTGGCCCACTTTTCAAAATACAGGTATGATAATCTTGCGGTTTTAAAAGGACATTTAAATTGAAAGACTGTGAATTTAGTACATAATTATACCAATAGAACCCTTTAACTTGTCAACTTGTAAATCTAAAAGGCTATCAATCATTTCTAAAGAGGAAATAAACCTTAAAATTCTTTGATTGACAGTGCTTACTCTTTATGTAGAAAAAAAAAGGAGTAAAGTGGCCAGAAATCCATTTACAAAAGTACATTGTTTTACATAGGTGAGTAAAAAGCCAATAATTACACTTCCAAAAGACATATAAATCAAAGTAAGTACTTTTCCCTCACTTACATATTTTAAGTTGCAGTAAACTTCAGGTAACTTTATATTAAAATACTTTTCCAAATGCAAAGCTTATTGAAGCCATTAATAGAGTAGCATTTTCATTTAAGCTAATATAATCATTTTTGCAAATACAAGATTTAAGCCATTTTTCTCCTTCCAAACAATAAACTTGCAGCCTGTCTCTTGTGTGAATTAACTAAAATTACACCCAGGTGTACAAAATCTGTCTATCTACCCCAGTGTATGAGTTAAAGCACAATATTTATTATTCTTACCATTTTATGAATTACTTCTTAAACCCTTGAGGAAGAACTTTCTTTCAAATTAGACTCTAACAGAATAAGCCATGAAGCTCTTTATGCAGCAAGTCTAAAGCCATAACTTATAAAATCTAAGGCTTTTAATCAAGAAAATGCACAAAGTCTATGGAAATAAGGATGAGTACACCATATTCATCTTTTCAAAGTCCAACTTATTTTTCAACAGAAATGCCGGTTATGCCTCTGAGCAAAATATTTCAGCCATAACCATAATTTCAAATTCTGCATGAATAATTTTAATAACTGCATGCAGATAATCCACCATGTTTAAAAGTTTTTTTTTTTTTAACTGGTCATGGAGGGCTTTTTTTAATATTTCACATAATGAATTCCTACTGTGTCAATAAAGCTTTGGTTGTTAATTGAATGACTGTCTGATGTATCTGAGAGAGGAATTTGTTTCTCTGACCATGCTGCCAATTTACAGCAGAATGATCGACACTTAATATCAGCAATTAAAAGGACCTGTTCAAATATCGTATGGAATTTGTAGCTTGGGGTAGTGTAGGAGAACTCTTCACCAAGGAAAACTCATTCAATAAATGCAGAGAGTAATTGAATTAGACACATTGTAACGTTATTGTTCAAAGAAAAATAAACACACACTACATAGAAGCATTATGGAAATATTTCTGAATGTAAAACATATTCAGTTAATTTGTTTCTCATGCATTCATGGTTTCATTTATTCCTTTTTATTTTTCAGCCCTTGTTTCTTTTTCATTCTGTTTGACCTAAAACCAATGAGAGAGCAGCACTTAGACCTATGAACTTCCCATATGCTTTTCCAGTGGAAAAGACTGCAAGGAGAGGGAAGGGACTCTAAGGGCTCAAATAACAAAAACAAAAAAAGGCTGAAGGCTACAAACAAATTGGC